TGGACTCGGGCAGACATGGCTGTGGCAGCGTGCTTGTCCGTTTTCCCGTTCTTGCCTATTCTATAATGTTCTTTGGACTCGGGCAGACATGGCTCTAGCAGCATGCTTGTCCATTTTCTGACTTTTGTCTGTTCTGTAATATTTCCGTGAACTCTGGCAGACATGGCTCTGGCAGCATGGTTGTCCGTTTCCAACTTCTGCCCCTCTGAATATATGCCAAATAAAACTTTCTTTTTGCTTTACTAGACTCTGTGACTTTTACCCCTACAACAGTGCCTGCAGCTGTCAGAGCCCGCCCTTAAACTTAGCAGCAGTTAGTCCAACCACCCGGTCTAACTACAAATCAGGAAGCACAGAGCTATTCAGTAAGCGCAGTATAGCGACTGTAACAAAATAATTTCCCCGTTTATGTGTTATAAAGTGCTTTTAAACTGAGTCTCCAAATTACTTACACAAAGGATTTCTACAGCATAAAAACAAAGGCATTAGTATGCATGATTTCTTTCTAAAACAGGGGAAGAAAGAAAGGTTTACAGTTTTGAAAGCTATTGTTCAGAGTTTTTTTTTTTAAATTCAACAAAGATCAAGAAGTCTTCCTCTTCATACACATGCATCTGTAGAAAAAATTTTTTAAACTGTTTTCAATTGACAAAGAGTTAATAAAATCGAAACTTTTCACAAGCATATTTTGTTTTCGTCTAACAAAACTTACCTGTTTACGTGTGTGTATGTGTATATATGTGCATATTAGAGAGTGTGTGTATCTTCTACATATTTAATTTCCTTAACGGCAAAGAAATTGGAAGTACTGAGTTTCATCTATTATTCTTCATCAACAATTGTCCCAAATTGTGTTTCTTACTTGATGCAGAGTAAAATTTTCTGGAATAAATGCTATTGACACGGAAAGGAGGGGCACCCTGAGAAGTCATGGCTAGACAGAGATGCGGCTGACTTTGCTGACAGTAGATCGAGGTAATGTCAGCTCAGAACATCCGTGGTTTAAGGAAGGTCAACCTGGAACATATTTAACTTCTCTTCATCATTCATAAAGGCATGTGACAGAGATCAATAGTGAAACTTACCTAACTGAATGCAGACTGAGTTAGAAAACAACATAAGAAGATTATTAGCAACACACCAAGTGGAAAACCACGGCAAAGAACTGGAGGACTGGGTGCTACGTCCCTGTCTCTGAAAACACCCATTCCTACCACTGCTTCTTACTGAGCAGGACCCAGTGCTGATGCTGCTCTCACAGCGGGTGCTGCCATGAGGCCGGGGCAGCAATGGGGCAGCCCACGCTGGGACCTGGACCTCCTACCTTCCCTCACCCCCAACGGTGCCTCCAAAAGGGAAAGCCGAAGTGCTTCGTAAAATTCAAGTACGTGCCTAAGGCATCAGGACAATCCAGTAGGTATTTGGTTGGTAAACATAAAAAAAAAAGAAAATTATTGCTTTATTCTTAAGGGTGAGAATATACTCAAGAGCAAAACAGCTAAGTGTGCATTTTATACCACAATAAGTATGTATCTATTTACACTCATATATTCATTTTAGACATAATTTACACTCTACCAAACATGCTTACATCATAAAATTCTTTCAAACTGCAAAGAAAGGATTAAAACTAGGGAATAAAACAGTGTCTTTCAGAACTCTGATGAACCCAAACACAAAGACTAAAGAGTGCTTTTTCTCTAGCGCTCCTGGGTTAGAGCTAGGCGAAGTAAATATTCAGTTACTGGGGTTCCATGTAAGGGTATTACTTTACACCTGTCAAGTAATACATCTACCAAAACAAAAAACCAAACCCACTGCCATCGGGTCAATTCTGACTCATAGTGACCCTACGGCGACCCTACAGGAGAGAACAGAACTGCTCCATAGAGTTTCCAATGGAGGGCTGGTGGATTCGAACTGCTGAGCTTTTGGTTAGCAGCTGAACGCTTAACCACTGCGCTACCAGGGCACCAGGTGACTTAATTATGGATTATCATCTAATCATTTGGTGGTATTCTTATTACCAACACCCACCCACAATAACTGATCAGGACCTCATCTGCCAGAAGTCCACATTAGAAAGAAACGCAGATGTCCAGAGCTGGGGGTACGATAGAAAGGTACCACGGTTACCTGATGCTCTGCCCATCCACTCACAACGGGAAGTCAAAGTCCAGTCATGATTTAATAGAAGGATGTATACGATGATGCAGTGAAGTTAATCCTCTCCTTTCTACCATCAAGTCGGACTTCCTGCCTCATATCCACTAACTTTCCCCCCAAGTCGGTCAGAGGGGAAGGAAAGAAGGGCAAGGACCATGCAGGCTCACTCACCTAAGCCCCTGAGAGTATAGAGAAGGTGGCTGGCATCCAACAACACAGGCCCGTGCTCCTGCTGCCCTTCCTCTTTGTAGAAGAGCTTGTAGCCCTGAATGGCTGCTGTGTCCTCAGCACCTTGCTGCCACTTCACAGAGATGGTCGTACAGTTCAGAGGCTCCAAATGTAACTCTGGAGACTTCGGGGCTAGAAAAATTCACCACAAAAAATACATAAACCGTAATTCACATGAAAACACAGAGTAGTATAAATCTCTCAGTCTTCAGCCAACAGTTTAAAAAAAAAATCCAAACCCAACAATTATACTCTAACCTAACTTCCAAAATTTCACAATGATCTTAAACTCTGAGATAAAAATAAAAAATACTACCTAAAAAAAAAAAAGGCTAAGATATATAAATAAGAGCAAAAGAGCATTTATACCCATGTTTTTATTCTTTTTCAAAGAGGCAACAGGTACTTAAAAGTTTTTGACCATCCAATACCCCTCCAAGATAGAAAGGACAGGCATTATTACTCATCAAGCAAACAAAAAAAGCAACAAGCAGTTATGCTACAATCCACGTTAGTAAGAAAGAAGTGTCCAGAACTTCCCAGTCTTAGTCTTTCCATAAAAGTGATTAATTAAAAAAATATGGGAACTGTATTAATCAGGCATCTCCTAATACATAACTTTTGCTAATTCAGTTTGATTTGGACTGACCTGTCCATGAAAGACTTGCCAGACAAACCAACAGTGTAATCCAAAGTTTATACACTAACGTGCTCTAGGCAGAAAGGGGCTACTAAATAAAAAGTTTTAAATTTTTTCAATTAAGTCCATGATCTATGGAATATTTTTATTCATAAAACAAAATTAAAAATATAAACATAGCTTCAAAAAGTGTGGCCCCAAAGTAAAAACACTGCACGTCCTTGCCAGCAGCCTTCAGGGGCTCACCTCTCACACTTGTAGCTTTGGGTGTCCTGTGCGAGGTCCACACTGAGGCCTCTCCCAGCCCCACCCTGGTGGCAGCACTAATGCGGACCAGGTAGATGCTGTCAGGTTTCAGACCCTCCAAAAGATACTCGTGCATGGTCCCTGGGAGCTCGAGGACTTGGATGGCGCTCTCAGTGCTTAGGCGGAAGGACAGGCGATACAGCACCACCTGGCCCCGTCGATACTTGGCTGGGATTGGCAGCCAGGAGATAAGGATGTCTGTGGGGCTTCGACTAGTCAGACTTATCTCAGGCGGTCGCAGGGGAACTGTTCAGACAAGAAAACAGGGCTGTTTATAAATACCGAGACTCAAACTTGCCACTCAGCACAGCAGTGTTCACTGACTTCTCTTAACAACAACACACAACACAATAAAGGAGAGAGACATTTAGTCCCAGTGGACTTCCAGTCAAGCAGAGGACAAACCAGAACAAAAAGGAAAAATAAGGAGGGAGATCCAAAAACAGGAAACCAGTGAAAGCAAGGTTCTGGTTGTTCTGCTTTGTTTTGAACGCGTATGAAAACACGCAACACTCATACAGAGTGTATTTTCCAAATGATCCCATCACGTGCCTTTGAAGTGAGGGAGAGTGAACCATTCAAGGGTGGATGGACCCGGGAGACGAGGGATGTAACCTGTAAACAGTGTCTTGAAGTGTGAGAGTCGTATCTTAAAAATTAACGTAAACTTTATATTCCAAATTATCACACGTGATGCTTAACATGAAAACTGTGTTTTTCCTCTCAATGTTCTGAATAAAACTGGCACTCCAGGAGAACAAGTATATTAGTATACAAGTACACATGTACATAGTCCAACATTAAGAGACAGGACTTGGGTTCTAGAGTTAGACTCTGGGTCTGAATATCTGTTCTACCACTTACTACTTTGTGGGATCCTACCCAAATTACTTAGCTTCTCTGTGTCTTGGTTTCTTCAAACACAAAATGGGGATAATAATGACAGCTCCCTCAACAGTCTTTCCCACTTCAGTTAATGGCCAGACCATTTGTCCAACTGCTCAACCAAAAACCTTGGTGTCATCCGTGACTCCTCTTTCCACTCACACCCCACTTTCCATCCTGTGCTCTGCCGCTCCCAGTGCCACCATCCTAGTTCCCTGTCTCCATCATGTCCAATCCCCCCTAGGTCCCTGTCTCCAACACATCCGATCCCCCCTAGGTCCCTGTCTCCATCACATCCGATTCCCCCTAGGTTCCTGTCTCCAACACATCCGATCCCCCCTAGGTCCCCGTCTCCATCACATCCGATTCCCCCTAGGTCCCATCACCTTTAGCCTGTGTTGCTGCAAAAGCCTCCTAACAGGCTTCCCTACCATCTATTCTCAACACATCAGCCCCTTAAAACACAAGTCAGATCGTGTCACTCTTCTGCTCAAAACAGCTCCCGTTTCACTCAAGGCAAAAGCCCAAGTACCCATTATGGCTCCATACAACGCCCTGTCTGCCTGCAGAGCTGGCTCCTCGTTATTCCTGTGCCTTATCTCCAGCTGCTGTCCGTGTTCCCTCCAGTCATGCTTCTGCTTCAGGCCGTTTGCCACTTCCATTTCCTCTGCCACACTGCCCCGGACGTCTGCCTAGCAGCACCCTGTTTTAGTTCCTTCAGGTCTGCATACGAATGTCACCTGCTCAGTGAGCCCTTCCTGCGGACTCTAAAATCTCAGTCCCCTACCCAACACTGCACCCCCTTTCCTGCTTCTTCTTTCTTCTCAGCACTTCCACTGTCCACCATCGTATAAAGTTTACTGTTTATCTTCTTATTTGTTTATCCCCTCCCCCACTCGATAGAAGCCCCACAAGGTCAGGACATTTGTCTGTTTTGTTTGCTACTAAATATTGAATAGCACATAGCAGGTACTCAATACATTTTGCTGAATAAGTGAAAAAGGAAAAATCAATTTATTTAGCGCTCTCAGTCCTTTATGTGTATGAACTCATTTATTTTCGCAAAAACCTAACGAGGGAAGTACCAATATCATTTCCATTTTATAGCCGAGGAAACTGAGGTACAAAGAAGTTAAACAACTTACCCAAGGCCACACAGCTAGAGAGGGAAAGAGCAGACCTAGAGAGACGTGACAGCCCACACTCTTCTGCACTCCACTGCCTCTTGTACAGTAAGATTCCTCTAACAGGGGGTCATGCAAGGCTTCAGTGAGGTGATGCAGGTGAGGTGCTGAGTGTCCCACAAACGTTAGCTGTATGTGGCACACTGCCATGCACGCTACCAGACCCACACATCTCAGTCTGAAAAGCACGGGCTTAGGAAAGGGGAGAGACTGGGGCAGAAATCTGAAAAGCAGTGTTGGAAGGTCTGTATGTTATCCCGAAAACAAAGTAAAAACTTTATTAAATAAAAAAGCTGCAGAGTAAGGAAAGGGTTAGAGGGGAAAAAACTTTGAGATCATAACTCAACTGGATTTGGCCAGTTTTCGGAAGTAGCTTGCCATGCTCAGACTTTCTTCAAGGATGTAGAAGGGGAACACACTCATGCTCCAAAATATTTATCAGCTTGTGTTTCTTCTCACAGATACATAGTCAAACCAAAACCCACTGCCCTCGATTGAGTCTGACTCATAGCGACCCCACAGTACAGAGTGGAACTGCCCCATGTGGTTTCCAAGGAGGGCCTGGTGGATCTGAACTGCCAACCTTTTGGTTAGTAGCTGTAGCTCTTAACCACTATGCCACCAGGGTTGCCACATACACATCAGAGGCTGTTAAATGTAATGAGTTAACTAAAGGTGTCATGTATACTATAGCTCACTCTGAAATGGAACAGACTTTTAAATGAAAACTAAAATTTGAAATTTGGTATTCGGATAACTGAAAATTTTTTTTTCATTTAGTCAAACTCTGGATTCACAAACAGCCAAATATGTGGCATAACAGAGATATAAGTAAAAGACCTGGGACCAAATGAACGAACAAAAGATCCAGGAATCATTTGTATAAAAATGTTTTTGAAAAGTAAGGTGGGCCATTTCCTAAGTATGAGAAAACACTTGTAAAGGGAGAATAGTGTAAATAAGCATATGTTAAATAATCCCGGTTTTACACAGCAGAACACAAAGATGGGCCTTCTAGGGCCCTAGAGAGTGAGATTCTCCATTTTTACAACATGAGAAGGTCTGAGGAAGAGAATCAGTTCCCCAAGAATATCTTAAGGAATGCGATTGTCCCACCATTTATAAAAGTACATGTCCTCCAAAGGGTAACTAAATTTCCAACCCATGGTCAGGTAAGTAACTGAACAAGTAATATTTTCCTCATTAAGTAAAATAAGCATACCGAATCTTAAAAAATCTGTTGTGTGACTTTCTTAGAATTTTTCTGTAATCAACAGGTAACAAACATCATAAGCTTCCAGTTTCAGAAGTTCAAAACCTTTGATCTTTAGGCCTTTGGGGATAAAAGTCAGTCTGAACACTCAATATGTACCTGTCGTTATATTCATTCATGCCTAGACAATCTCATATTTTGTTCTATTAATTAAAATATTGCCAATATATTTCTAATTTAAACTAGAAACCTTTGAAAAAACAGTAATATGAGACTTTTATTATTAAAATTTATACAGTGAATTACAAATAAAAGTGCTCTCTACCTTATCACACTACTATCAAAAAGCAAGAGTCAGATTTGAAATGGCAAATTGGACAGCTGTGTAACACACCTGCTTTCTAACCAAAAGGGACATTTTCTCTAATTTAAAACACACTTATGCATTGAAATTGGTAAGACGCACGAACGTTCGTACTTAAACGCTCCAGAACTGTGTTTTCTTACCGTTCTCTAGAGTATTCTGTGTCACCTGGTCAGACATCTGGCTGGCTCCCATTGGCATATACGCCACAATGTAGAAAGTATAATTGCTCGCAGGTTCTAAGTCATCAATAATATAATGAGTCGTGTCATTTCCGATGACTACTTGGTACTCCTCATTATTTAAACCTAGATTAAAGAATCGGTGTTTACAAATGATGAACATTCAAAATAAAACTGAAAGGACCATCCTGTCTCACTGTGCAACACTGGTCTGGGGGTCTAATCCCTACCTGTTACCTTTGCTGCTGCTGCTGCGCGCCACTGACTCGATTCCGGCTCACGAGCGGAAAACCAAACCTGCTGCTGTCGAGTCGATTCTGACTCACAGGCCTACAGGACAGAGGAGAACTGCTCCACCGGGGTTCCAAGGAGCAGATGGCAGAGTCCAACTGCCAACCTTCTGGTTAGCCGCCAAGCTCTTAACCACTGCGCCACCAGGGCTCCTCCAACTCATAGCAACCCTATGTGACAGAGTAGAACTGGCCCATAGGGTTTTTACCTCTAGTGACCCTTTAAAACACGCAAATATGAAGGTCTTTATTTTCTAAAAGTAACCATCTCTTGCTACAAATTAGCAGTTTGTGGTTTTCCTGACTAAATTCATATGAAAATAATCAATCTGCTTTAAACCTCATTTAACATCTAGTCAAAATACACAGCAGAGAGAATGGACAGCAGTGACACAGCAGAATACTGTAATTCCTAACAGTGCAAATTTTTCTTGCTTAAACTCCGGCTTCTTTTTTTTCTTTTAAACATAAATGGAGAGACATCAGGAAATGTAACGGCACAATTCTCTACAAAAACAAACCAAACCAAACATCGTCCTGCCAAAGACCTCCTTCTGCCCCTGGAGATGTTCTTCAATCTGACTGGCTCAAGTTGTTCTTTTAGTGACACTGAAAAAAAGAACTGGGAGGCACACACAATGTGCTGCAAAACGATTCATCACACAATGAGCTTCTCTTTCTTAAAAGGGGAAAAAAATTCTCAGCAATTCTTAATAAAATATGCGTGGCAAGGTACACAAGAGGATTTGTCTCCGTGGACTCAACTCCTACAGAGCGAACCTGCAAAGCAGAACAAGCGTGCTGGCAGCTCCTGCGCTTTGCTGACAATTCCCAGCAAAAGCACGTCAACTTAATCAAACTCTCTAAGGATGGAGCCCCTTCTCACAACCGGACTTATAAACAAAACAGAAGGCAAATTCCACGATTAAGTTTTCCCACATTTCTGAATTAACTTGATAGCATTTTAATTAGACAAGATTACAGGCATTTCACAACAGCCTGGTTAATGGCTTGTTAATTAGGAGCTGCAGAGTATGATTTCTGACCTAGCAGACAAGGTCCTTGAGTTGGAATTAAAAAGGCTTGTTCTGTCCCTGAATAGATGGCTGAACCGCATGTGGAGGCTCTAATGAAACCACCATAATAGGGAACAAGAGTGGTCTCCAGCAAACCCGCATTCCTTTTACCTTCTGAAATCACTGAAAAGGGAATCAGCATAGTCTACCACGCTCAGCTATCAAACCTTCATTCTTCTTGCTACCATGACCCCTGATTCAAATTCAAAATATTCCTTTTCAAAAGACTACTTCAAAGTACAAAAAGCAAGCAACAACAATAAACCACCTGTTTCTACAGTCACTTTTATTATATCACCATTCTCTGGGTATTTGTTTTTAACGTCTGCTTCATACAAGGTAGGCTGTCTGTGTGCAGAGCTAACCTCTGTAAACCTCTACCGCGGTTTCTATGAGAAATAAACAGAAAAATCTCCAGGACGTAGAAGCAGCTTTTCTTTTCCTCCAAGATCTTCTTCTAAACCAAAATACGAAATGAATTCTAAAAACAGATCTATAATTCTGAACGAAAAGTTTAAGACAGATTTGATTTCTATCTTTATATAAGGAATAGGAAATATCGATAAAAAAGTGTCCAGTTCAACTTTCAGAGAGTTCTGCACGATTTCCAAAAACATTCAAAATATGCAAAACTGAATATATAGGGAATTTGATAATGCTTACTTTTGCACTTAGATATAATATACTATGGTAACTATGGTTTACTACATTATTTTACTAAACAGTTACACCACTGCTTCCATGTAACTGTATATTTGTTACATTAAATCCTAGTTAAGGGATTTCTATCTTGGCTGGAATTAAATTCTTAAGTACACCACTTTGTAATTTTTACCAGGCAGAGATATTCTACATTAGCTGGTGTTTATTTCTAAAATCAGAAAAATCTTAAACTATAATGTATAAAACAATGCGAAGTTTATAAAAAATGAATACACAGGTGATAGATTAATTATTGTATTAAAAGAGAAAAATGCCACGGACTTTCAAGAGTATCTTGTGGATTATGTAAGACACCATTTGTACGAAAGGCAAACCCTCGACAGCAAGTAACACCTCGAAATAAACAGTCTTGAACCTGCTCACCTTCGGCCTTCATGTAGTGCACGGAGTAAGCGATGACTTTGTCTGAGTTATAAAGCGGCCTTTCCCAAGCTAAAAGGATGGCCGAGCTGGACATGGTTTCAGCGTGCACATTGTAGGGTGCACTGGGTCTGTCTTCTGACATCACTACGGTCAGTCTAGCTCGAGATAAAACAGATCCCTGGCTGTTCTCAGCCACGCACTGATAAATAGCATCATCTTCAGGAATAATCTGGTTAATTACCAATTTACTGAGGAAAGAAAAAAATTACTTATTTCCATAAAACATTCTAAGAATAACACAAAAATAAAGTTTAGCTATTGTCAAATGCACTTTCATTTTAAATGACAAAAATCACTGGGCACAAAAACTGTGTAATAAGCCCCAAATGAAAAATATCCTATATTATTTAAAATTGCCCTTAATTATTTTCCGAGTCTACAAAAGAGTAAATATTTGTGATGTCCAAATCCTGTATGTTTTAGGTGACCGCTTAATTTTTTTTAATTGGCTTTTATTAAGAAAGAATATTACTTTGTAACAGCATTTAATTCATATATTATAATTTATACATAAATTTAAGGTCAACAAAAATGTTTCAAGTTTTGTTCAACATGAATGAGAACATTTACAAGGAGATTCAGATTTATACTAATAAAAATGAGTTCTTAAAATCATTAAGTTTGAACTGTGGAAGAATTCTTAGACAATCAACTAATTTCTTCTGATTTCCTCCTTTTATGGAAGGAACTCAGCCCATGAAGGGTTAATGTGCTTGCGTGTGGTAGTCAGTGACTGTAACCAAGACCAGAACCCAGGTCTGGGGAGCCGCCTAACACTCACTTGGTTACAGTCTGCTACTTGCATGTGAAGAATACAAAAGAATCCATGGCATGCTAATGTTATAAATTTAACTGAAGTTATCTCATTTATTTTGTTCTGGTTTTAACTACCAAAACAATTGAAGTATCTGAATTATTTCCGTAACATTTCACATAAAAACTATTAAAGCCGTTTTCTCTTATATAAAATAGTAGCAAAGTGACACAACTCACCTGTTGTACATTTTAATTCTGCCATTTGAATGGATCTTCCTTCCATTTTTCAACCACGACATTTTGGGTGAGGGGATTCCTTCTGCCTGACATACAAATCGAGCAGTGCCAGCTCGAGGCCTTGTCAAACTTTCCGGCCACTCAACAAATGAAGGAGGAGCTATTTTTTGAAGAAAAAAAAATTTCTGAGTTATGCACAGGAACGACACAGAGTCAAGGAACAGGACGACAAATGAGGTGACAAGTCGCATACCCGAAGATCACTGGCCCTCCGCGTGGCCTGTCCACCCCGTGTACGTCATCCATATGCCTTTCCTCTGCCTCACTCAGTTACACGTCCACTCCCCCTAAGTCCTCCCTGTTAAGACCATCTATACAAACTTACTAAAAATACATAAACCTACGATCTTACTTAACTAAGCCCAACATGAAGCCACTTCTGAACAATCAATAGATTAGAAGTTCAGACTGGTGAATGAGTATATGGATTTGTACAGGGGTGAACAGTAGATAAAATGGAAGCTTAAATAGGAAGGGACATAATGGCATGTAGGGAGATAGGATGGTGACTTCCGGAGGATCCTACAGCTGTATTTTAACACAGTGCTTTAATTTTCACCTAAAATTCGTTGTTGGGTTACAACACCTCATATCACTACTACAAAATTCAAGAAACGTGGAAGTAAGCTATAAATGAGATAAAACGGTGAATATTAGAATGTAAGAGTCTCCTGACTGCAGAAAGCAAGAAAACATACCTAATACAGTTAAAGCTGCCATAGCAACTGTGAAGTTCCGTGTGCCTGGGGTAGTGGCCCGACAAACATATACTCCAGCGTGTTGTAGCCTGACATCAGATATCATGAGGTTACCATTTCCAAGCACCCGAGTGTTAAAGACATCAATGGACTTGTGATCTATTTCAAAGAGAATACATCAGTTAAAACACTGTAATAGTGCATGATCTAAAATTATGTCAAAAGACCACTATCCAAGCAATACAATCAGGAAAAGTACATCATTCTCCATGTTAACACCCATTCTCTACACACTCAAATGTCAAAAAGTAAAAATTACACAATTGTCAAACACGTGCTTCATGCGTAAAACAAACATTTTATCAGGTTTCACTAGAATGAACAAAAATTAAGGAAAACATATTTTTAAATTTTTGAGACTTACCAAGACGGCTCCAAGAAATGATTGGTTTGGGATTTCCTGTGGCCATGCATTCCAAAACGACGGTCTGGTGAAGAGAGGTGGTTATGTTTTGTGGACCTGCTATAATGGCTGGTGGGTGGAAGGGATTAGACTCCTTAGCTTTGTGGAGCAGAGGGAGGGAAGGAAGACAGAATATAAAAATAAAATTATAAATAAGATATAATACACGAAATGAATTCAAATAACTACTCTTAAGTTACCACTCACGTTTGATTAAGGTTCAAACATTCATTTAATACTATCACTAATCCTGTTAAGAATTTATGTGACAGTGAGGGAGTAAGGAAAAAGTATGAGAGTGCTTTTATCTTTATCTTTCAAATCAGGTACTACCTTAACTATCTTTTAGGAAATAAAAACTTTTGCGAAGAATAAACGTTCGCGTGAAGTTTAACAGTGCCTTTAATTCAGCTTTTCTTCCATTATGTTCAAGTTAATTTAAATTTGTTTTAAAATAAAAGCTAGCATCTATAGATGATTCAGTTTTAATAAAAACATGTATTTCTTTCTTTACATTCATTTATCTATCTAGCTTTCCTTCTAGCTATTTATATACGGTAAAATATATAAAATTATGCTCACTTAATGTTAGCAGTGATAACTTCTGGATGTTGGGGTTGAGGACGATATTTTTAAGCTTCTACATTGTTTAAATTCTTTATAATGCGCATGCATTGCTTTTACCAAAACAGATGACTTTTTAAAAAAGAAAAAAAACAGCAATAACAGAACAACAAATACATCTTTACTGACAGTGGACAATTCTGGTGGTTATTTTTCTCTTTTTTGGTACTTTTTTGTATTTTATATTTCTAAAAATAAAATTGATTGAAATATTTATAAAACAAATGTTCAACCATTCTTAAAGATGCTGACATAACATAAAACAAGTTAGCTGTGAAAGAAAAGGTTGCTTAATAGATAAAAGGTAATTGTTTTCCAAATAAATTATAATAATTCAAATGAAATTAAAATACTACTTTGTGGCATACTATTATAGCCCCCAAACCAAAACCAAGCCTGCTGCCATCGAGTCGATTCCGACTCACAGCGACCCTACAGGACAGAGCAGAACTGCCCCATAGGGTTTCCAAGGAGCAGCTGGTGGATTCCACCTGCCGATCTTTTCGTTAGCAGCCAAACCACTATGCCACCAGGGCTCCACTATTCTAGCCAGAGGAGAAAAATAACATAGCTGGACCAATAAAGAGTCACAAAGATTGAAAGAGAAACTTGTGTGTGGTACCTGGAATCACCGTTAGCGAGGCCTCCATACTTTTACGTCTATGGGACACCGTAGCAGCAACACAGCGGTAATTCCCAGCATCCTTTTGGCCAACATCATAGATCTGCAACACTCCTGTTGGTAGAGCAGTTATCCTGTTAGGAGAAGAAATATAATTAAACTCTTTGTAGTAACTTTCATATTTTACTTTAAAATATATGCTGTAAAGTGAATACTTTCAACCTTTTAAAAGCATTAGATGCAATACTCTTTAAGATCTTTTATGTTATTAGCTTGACTTTATTATTTTCATTTCAGTCACTACAGCTCTCTAAAACATAAATAATTCTGCAGAACGTAGGCTGTAAGATGTATCAGTCTATTTCACAGAGAGTCTCATCTAACACTCTAGCTTAGATTAGTCAGTGGCCCAGAGCTTACTATGATTTTCAAATTCCCGATTTCTTGCCTGTTAATATTTATGTATTCGCCTATACGTAAGTTTAAAAAAAAAAAAAAAGCACTTCCTTGAATAACTTCTTCCATCTCAACGCTCCATCACTTCAGCAAATGATTTCTGCCTACTTGGAATCCAGATATTCATTAGGGCAGGAATAAAACTTTTTGAAGTTGCTACTAAGTTTCTGATCACCACTCTCAAAGCAGTAAGCATGCGTGTTGCATATGTGTGAGCTATGGAGGCGGGGCTCTGTGATGAAAGGCGGAGATAGGAGCGGGCAGCTACTAGGGCTTACGTGGAGACCCTCACGTCAGCACTGCTACTCCCACTAGTGAAGGTGATACTTGGTTTCTTAAAACTTTGTTACCCAGGTGGTCCTATGGTTGAACAGATGGCTGAGGAAAGGAACAAAGCTATCTGCAGGAGAGGCTATCTGAATTCTGATCTGAACCCCAAACACCAGGACCCATGCCCCAGGTGCCAGAGACTGATGATATACTTCTTTGCTTAAGTTTGAAATGCCTCAAGAAACTTGTTGTTAGGTGCCGTCCAGTCAGTTCCAACTCACAGGCACCCTATGTACAACAGAATGAAATACTGCCCAGTCCTGCACCATCCTCACAATCGTTATGCTTGAGCCCACTGTTGCAGCCACTGTGTCAGTCTATCTTGTTGAGGGTCTTCCTCTTTTTCGCTGACCCTCTCCTTTACCAAGCATGATGTCCTTCTCCAGGGACTGGTCCCTCCTGATAACATGTCCAAAGTACGGGAGACAAAGTCTCGCCATCCTTGTTTCTAAGGAGGATTCTACTTATATTTCTTCCAGGACAGATTTGTTCGTTCTTTTGGCAGTCTGTGGTACATTCAATATTTTTTGTCAACACAATTCAAAGGCATCAATTAAGAAACTGTTATTACTACTCTAAAATGAGTTTTATAATGCTCTTCCTTCATTATGATGAGGTCTTTGTTACTGCTTGTACCACCTCCAGAGATAAAAGCTATATTTACCTATCCACAGCTATAGGTAGAGTTGTCCGATTTAATTCCCATGTTATGACTGCAGAAGGGTTTGATGAAATCTTGCATGCAAATCTAGCAACTCCACCTTCATGGACCTCAGTGGAAACTGGCTGAACTTCAAATGCGGAAATAGCTATAAGATAAAGTTTGACAAATTCAGAGTAAATACAGGACAACTATATTTGGAAATAACATTATGCTAGATATTATTTGTCAGACTTCAACTCCTGCCCAGACAGAAGATCAATCCCAACTGAACTCCATTCCTGCTGCCGTCCAGTCGATTCCCACTCATGGTGACCCTACAGGACAGAGCAGAACTGCTCCATAGGGTTCCCAAGGCTGTAAATCTTTACGGAAGCAGACCACCACATCTTTATACCACGTAGCAACTAGTGGGTTCAAACTGCTGACCTTTTTGGTTAGCAGCCAGGCGCTTAACCACTGAGGCATCCAACTTAAGTAGAACAAAAATAATTTAGGGAATAATTTTGGAAAAACCACTGGGCAGATCCCCATCTCAAGGAGTCTGGTTTTTCCCAGAATGAAATTCTAAACAGTTTTCTCATAAAACCATCTGTTTGGAAAGAAAAATTAACATAACAGAACCAAAAATAAACAGTTAATACCAGTATGTAATTATACCCTAAACTGTTCAGTACAAACTTCAAATATGACTATACTTCAGAGGAGGACAAAAATCAATGAAGATGGGTTAATCAGGTAAAAACCATTTATAGGGACTGGTTCTGAATTGGCTTTTGAAGACAGTTCACTGGGTTTAGATGGAACGGGGAAAACAGGACATTCCAGGTGCAAGGAGTAACACAAAGGCCAGCACAGAGGCAAGAAATCACAGCCTGAGAGGGGACAGCCAGCATTACAGCAAAACAAGCCAGATGATGGGTTTATGGGAAGCGGTAGGAGAGCAGAGATAACGTGGATTCGTACCATGATGCAAATTAAGGCGTCACTGAAGATGTTTTACAAAGGATTACCATGAATAATAATGTCTGGGAACACTAATCAGGTGCTGCTACCCAGGATGGACTGAAGAAAGAAGAACCTTGACTCAAGTCAAAACCCCAACAACTGGCTGTTTTAACAGGAAGGACAGAACTCAGTGAGAATGGAGAGATTCTAGAGATATTTGAAGGAAAACACAGACTGGGTTCTTACTGGACACAGAGCTATGTTTCCCTGTGTTTGGAATCAAATGAGGTCGTATTGATGAAGCAGAATGAGAAAGAAGAGCAAAGAGAAATTGTGTGTCTGGTTCATAAAAGGAACGGAAGAGATTATTTTTAGGCTAGTGTTTCCAAAGCAGAGATAAATCTTGAAGTGTTGATATTTTCTAGACATAATTCTTCTTCACCATTCTAGGCAGAACTCCAGGAACTAGTCTTCTGTGTTCATGTTTTTGCATTTTGAAGGAGTCCAGACTCCAGAGAATAATGTGGTTTTCCTCTCCTTTACTAAATCCTATAGGATATAAAAGAAAGGACCTCCCTTGCGGTTTTAAGCCCCCTCCCTCAGACTCTAGATCAAAAAGTATATATGCATTTACAGTTTATCGATAAAGGAATGATTACGAAGAAAAGTAGAAGGAATAAGGTCTAGATGAGCTTATGGTTCATTAGATTGAAAAAGGGTAAAAGATCAGAGAAGACTAATAACTTCTGCCTTGGATTTGACTCCATTAATGTGTGATGGATCACAGGCCTTTAGAGGTACAGGACAAAAGTACTGAATAATGGTGAAAGCATTCTTAGGAGAATTTACTTCCAAAAAGGGTGCAATGAGGTAAAGTAATTATTTGTATATGTAACAAAACTTTCTGCTTCCTCAAGAACAGCTTTTCTCTTACACACAACACCAAAAGCATGAGCAACAAAAGAAAATACAGATAAACTGGACTTCAACAACAACAAAAAAAATTTTGTGGGTCAAAGGACATTATCAAGAAAGTGAAAAGATAACTTACAGAATAAGAGAAAATATTTGGAAGTCACATACCTGATAAGGGCTTAACATCCAGAATATATATAAACAACCCTTACAACTTAACAAAAAGACAAACCACCCAGTCAAAAAACGGGCGAAGGGCTTGGGTAGACGTTTTTCCAAAGAAGATACACAAATGGCCAGTAAGCACATGAAAAGATGTCATTAGGGAAATGCCAATCAAAACTACAATGAGATATTACTTCACACCCAACAGGACGGCTATTACAAAACACACACACACACAGAAAACAGCAAGTACTGGCAAGGATGTAGAGACACTGGAACCCTTGCGCATTGCTAGTGGGAAAGTGAAATGATTCAGCTGCCGTGGAAGACAGTTCAGTTCCTCAGAAAGTTAAACACAGAATTACTGTACGATCCAGCAATTCCACTCCTAGGCATATATCCAAAAGACTTGAAGGCAGAGACAGATACTTGTACACCAGTGTTCACAGCAGCACTAATTCACAATAGCCAAGAGGTGAAAACAACCAAAACGCCCATCAACAAATGAATGGAAAAACAAAATGTGGTATATCCATACAATGGAATATTAGTCAGCCATAAAAAGGAATGAAGTACTGGTACACACTACAACATGAACGAACCTTCATTATACCGAGTGAAACAAGCTAGACACAAAAGGCCACATGCTGTATGATCTCACTTGTACGTGGAAATATCCAGAACAGGCAAATGCATAAAGGAAGAAGACTAGCGGTTAGCAGGGGCTGGGGGAGGACAGGGAGCTAATGATTACTGGGTACAGAGTTTCCGTTTAAGGTAAAGGAAAAGTTTTGGGACAAGCAATGGTGACGGCAAGGTCAAAACCATTTTTGTAACCGCCACGTGCCTTTTCCACTCTCATTTCTCTAGAGTGTACCGCGGGGTCCAGAAGCTACATGATGTGAATGCAGAGGCTGATGTGAGAGAGTCTGGCTGTCTTTTTTTTTTATGGGTTGTTTTTTGTTTTTAATTGTACTTCAGGTGAAGGTTTACAGAACAAATAGTTTCTCATTAAACAGGACACATATTGTTTTACGACATTGGTTAACAACCCCACGACATGTCAACCCTCTCCCTTCTCGACTTTTTTTTTTATTGAAAATATACGTAGCCAAAGAGACACGATTCCAAAAATTTCTACTGCACAGTTCAGTGACGTCAATTACGTTCTTCCAGCTGAAAAACCAAACCCATTGCCATCAAGTCGATTCTGACTCATAACGACCCTATAGGACACAGCAGAACTGCCCCATAGAGTTTCCAAGGAGTACCTGGTGGATTTGAACTTGTCTTCTGTTGAACGAGACATTAAAGAGATCTGTGAACATAGAAAAGAATGCCACTCCTCTCATTACACTTTTTTTTGCTTTGGAAAATAGCTATTTTTCATCAAATGTGCTATACTAGTATATAATGGATCAATGTTTTTATTTTAAAATGAATTATATTTTTAAAAAATTCTGTTTTTTTTAAATTGTGCTTTAGATGAAGGTTTACAGAGCAAATTACTTTCTCATTAAACAATTAATACAACATATACTGTTTTGTGACAGTGGCTGCCAACCCCACAACATGTCAACACAAAAATTTCTCAGTTTTAATGTTCAATATAAAAAATATCAATAGACATAACCTACATCAATAAAAGTCCTTTCAGATCCTCAATAATTTTTAAGAGTAGGAAGAAGTGAGACTACAATGTTTGAGAACCACTATTCAAGAACATCAAACTCCAAAAATCAATAGTTTTAAAAATGCTTTTGTAATCACTTTCTAGAGTATTAATTTATTTATAAAAATTTCCATTCTGGATCAGACATGTGGCCCACCCACTGCTGTTCACCTACTGAAGAATCAGGAATAGATGGTTATAGTCATCTTCAAAATATCAGGTTCACATTTAGAACAACCAGATATATCTTAATTTAAGCTCATCTTCCGATAACTAACTAAACTTGTGCTGAATCCATTCAATTTTTTGGAGTTAGGACCTAAATTTCCATAAGTTTAATGCCTACTTCATGAAGTATTGATCGTTCTTAATGATCTCATATTTACCTGTCCTATGTATGAGGGGTGATCCCTAGTTCTAGTTGGCACTGATAATCTAGTCTTTATTCAATTACTCATAAATTTCAAAACGTGAATTTTATCTTATTCTTTCCCAGTCGTAATCTCTCCAGTCCGTAATGTCTAATATATTTTAACTTTTCTTCATAAAGCAGTAGTTACTCCACCCTATTAGAACAATTCCTGTTTCCACCACTTCACAATGAATCAAATGGCCAATTCAGTATGTTTTACCTCATGTATCTCTCTCACATCTGACTTCTCCTCTCCATCACTAATTGTCCTCTCTTTGATTCAGACCTTCATCATCCCCCACCTGCAAGTCTTGCGGTGACCCTTAGCAGGTATCTCCCTTGCCAGCAGAGTCACCCTCCAGAGTGATCATCATACAATACGAATTTGATTTGTGTCGCTGATAAATTAATTAATCCCTGCCAAACTTTCTACCCTCTTATTCAACCACTTAAAATTATGTTCCACCAACACTGAACTACTTATAAATCCATGAATATACCATGCCTTTCCACACTTCTGAGCTCTGTATGAGTGTTTCCTTTTCTTTCAAATATTCTAGGTCCCTTTATCCAACTAGCAAATCCTACGATCCCTTACAGCCCAGTTCACATCCTCTTCCTTTGCCAAGTTGTTTCTGACCATTTTCTCTACAACATCTGTACATCACAATCCCTTTATTGCTGCTTTTATCCCACAGTATTATAACCACTTATTTACAAGTCTTTCTCTCCTTCTACGCCATGAGTTCACTGACAGCCAGAAATGGGCCATCATTTTTGCAGGATTCCTTAAGACAGTGAATGGCACAGATCTGGCACTAAAAAAAAATGCTTGCTGAACTGAACTGAAAGTTTTTGGACTTTATCCAATTATATTAGGTCTTTAAGCACAGTATGCCAGGTACAAATACTATGGATTGGGATGAGAAGAAAATAATGATCATTATGATGCTTGGTCTGCTAGAATTTCAAATGATAACCAATATTTTGGTGGCATTTTTTAATAGATAAAAATTTGTCCCTCCTATATCACAAG